ATTCCCTTGTAACTATTTATAGAGACCAATCACATTTAATAAAATGTAGTACCTGTGGCTGCTTGCAATCAGTCATGCCATGGGTTGCTACAGATAAGCACACAGTACATTTTGTCCCATCATACACTGTTATTCACAGTTGTCTAGCATAGGAAAACATTAACATGAGATATAACATGGTGTCAGAATAACGTAACCTGTCTATAAACCACACAAAGAAAAAAACAGCTGAACCTGGAAAGAAAATGCTTTCACTTGTTTGAAATTTGTGTCACCATTAAGAACAGGTACATGTTTGGATACCGTGAAATAACTACAGAGGAGTAAGACAGAATTAAAAACAAAAATAGACGTAAAGGAGTTTGAAATTGCTAAAGAACCTCAACTTCGAAGGAAACTCAGATGAAAATATTTTGGGAACAACAACATGATTTTTATTTGTTTGCTGCTGGAGTAACTAAAAATGAGTGAATACATGTTTTGATGCACCCTTTTATATCAAGTATTGGTTTTACTCCCCACAAACTAGTGGAAGCCATAACAAAAATTTTGACCACTTTCATCAGAGCAATCAGCTCATCACACCAGGTCACCTGGTCAAAAAAATAACTAAGGGGAATAACTATGACAAATAACTTCATGGCTAGTTTAGAGGTTAAATCTCTTTACAAATGCATAAATTTCAAAAAAGTTTAGTGTGTATCTTTTTAAAAAAATTTGAATCTGGTCCTTTCCAATCAACATATTTCTGATGAATTGATAATGCTCTATTACTATATACCTGCAAAACTACTTTTCTTGGCCTTGTAGACTGTAACATGCCCTTGCAACAGGGTCACATCCTTGATCACTGACACCAAATAATGTAACACCTTTTGTCACTGCCTACACCTGGTGGTGTAACCATGTTTAGTTGTTCACTCCTCAGGATCTTAGGATGATACTTTAACCATGTGCTAAGTCTGTACTGTTCAATGCTGATGCTTACCTAAGCTGGTTGTTCGTTGCTGACTGTTTTGATCCACACTATCTCTGTCATGTTCTTGATATCAGAGCAGTAGAAGATCATATGTTGTTGTAGTCTCACAGCAAGTGTTCAAGCCATAGTGGGTGCTATATTAAGGAAAAAGATAAAAGGAGAGATTCATGGAGTTAATCTCCAATTGGTTTATATATCTCTTGGTACAACAAAAACCCTTCCAATCTCTCTAGTGACACTGGGCCTTGTCTAAACGTTTGGAAGGCTAGGTTCAAAGTCTTGAAATCAGGAATTCTGCTTGGCAGTTGGTATAGATTTCAGAGACACTCAATGTGGGATATCAGCCCAAAGTCCTCAAGCTCTACAAAGTCATCTGCTTATATTCACTTTGGCTCAAAACTGGTGTGGGGCTGAAGGGTTTTTGGGGTTTTGTTGATTTTTTAATTTCCATTCATTCAAATAAGGGTTTCTTTGTTCCCAATTTCTGCTTTCCTAATCAATTTTCCAAATTTGGAGAATTATCCACCTTCTTTGGGAAAAGTCACAGGGATTGCTTCTTCCTTAACTCCCACCTACTTCACAACACACACACTGCTACTTCACACACAGGTGATGCAAAATTCTGCCCCTTCCTCCCTCCTTCTCAGTATTCAACCTCAGCCCACTTTCCAGGGCATGCATAACTGTCTTTGTGACAAATCTAATTTTTGAAATGTATAGGAGAAGGGGTGGAGTTCCATTCCAGCCATTAATTTTAATTCTTCAAATCTTTTCCATTTTCCTGGAACTATCTGTGTCCAGCGAAGATACAAACCAGACCACCTATGGCAGAATTTGTTTTCATAACTCTACCTTTAATTGTACAGTACATCCAACCTATTAAGAGAAATTCATTCTCATTTTAAACTTCCTGAGTGATAGATAAAAAAAATATTTCCCAAATCTCTTTTTGTCAATAAAGATATATTTGTTTACCTAAATTCTCAACAAATAGATTCCCTGTTTTCCATCCTTGGCAAACCAGATCACTTTCTCAGCATGACATGACTTCAATGCTAAAAAAAAAGATTCATTCTCAGTTTTCATTTTCATCAAGAAAAATATGTGTTTCTCTAATTTTTCAAGAAAGAGATAAAGCCATTTCTCAGAATCTGTTTTCATCTGCATATCAGACTCTTAATAGATAAGAAAATTAAACTTCTAGGAAAGAAGAAATCCAGATGTCCCATTCTCACCAAGGAAAATGTCTCCACTCTCTGTCTTCCGGCCTAAATTTCATTTTGGGTTAACCCTTCTCTTTTCTTGCTTAAAATTAATGTTTAACCATGTCACCACCTCCATTTTACAGATAAACTAAAAGTCAAACATATTTTGTAGATATTATGTTACACTGTAATGACAATGGCCTAAAACTACATATCCATTGCAAATCAACTAATAAAAATAATCTCATAAATTTCTGTTCTCACCATAACAGCAAAATAAAATTTGGAATTATCATCAGATTCTATTTAAGAACACTCAGAATTTGTAACTGTCAATATTTATATGAAGAGGAGAAATACATTGGAAATACTCCTCTAATACCCTAATTATTTCATAGCATGAAACAAAATGCCTGTAAAATATTTCAAAATAGAAGAGTGTGCATTCTGACAAATCCAATGAATCAAAATATATTTTTCTACCCACAAACTTTATCACAAATACAAATGAAAATAATTTATCTAAACTTAACAAAATTTGTTACAGTTACTAATGTAATCGTACAACAACCTCCCTGATTGTCTAAGACTTCCAACACCATGACTGATCGATGAAAATCGCTTTGATCTCAGACCTGCATTGTGATTTAAATTTGATCATAAGGAGGCCAAGACTGAATTGTTGCAGGCATCAAGCAGGGTGAAGATGTATAGGGGGAAAAAAATAACACTCAAATAAATTGAACAAAAGTAAAAGTAAAATCAGTCCTTCGTACAATAATTGGTTATATCAGAATTTGCATGCAATTATCAGCCCAACCTGTGTCTAAATCGAAAGTGATATTATTGTTGACCTGGCAAAATTTGGTTTGCTGTTGTTGATAAAGTTTCACACAAGGCTGAAGTCGGAGGCTTTCATCAGCAGTTAATCATGTGGGCCTCTCTCCTGTCTTTGGTCTTGTCGCCATCTCTTCTGCCTCTCTTCTCTCTAATTTGCTTTGTGCATTTATATTTATGGACATTCACCCAAACTGGCAAATTAAGAGATATTGGATAATTCTGAGGAATTCCTTTCTTCCACTCTCTCATATTATTACCTCTCACTAAATCTCCTCAGTGAGCGTGGATGGCTTATCCACCCCCTCCTGATATTCCAAGTCAACTTACGACTAGGGGAATATACTCCAAATTGATTGTTTACGAAAAATGAAATTTTCACTTTACAGCTTGCATAGAATACATGTCAATCAACATTGGCCTCTAAGTCTGGGTCACTTTTCCATTATTCAAACTGCTCAACTTACAATTCAAGTTGTTTATGTGTGAATTAAATCCTTCATTCTTCCCATGGGTTTTCAGTATTAATCCTTCTCATTTCAATGTCTCTCAATGCATAACACTTTCTTATGTTTTAACAAAACTTTCTTTCATTTTACCACAGCAACAGCAAATAGTATCACACTAAAACAATAACAAAACAATAAAAGACTAAATACAAAACAAAATAATAACCTAAAATTGAAGGCAGAATTTACTCTGTCATCTGTAATAATTGCTCCAACCAAGGAATATATGATCATAAAAGGGACCTTTTTATAAAACAACACAATCATTGCATTAGTTGCTTAACAAAAAGGAAAAAGAATATTACTTTAATTAAAAAAGAAACCAATTTACCAAGGTGAAAGTGTACAGAAATTACTTTAATTGTTAGATCATCCACAGTAAATTTACATCCAGGTTCTTACATTTCACCTTTCTTGGTAGATCTTCTATTATCACAATGTGAGATATTTAATAGCAAAAGTGATAAAAACATACACAAAAAGAAACTATATGAAATTGGCTAGATTATATACCCAAATATATAATTAAAAAAAAATTTAATTAAAAATTTCAGCACCCCTTCTCCTTCAGACATGTGTAGTCACATCAATTTAAGCATCACTTTAATCTGATGAAGTCTTAAAGCATGGAACACATCACATGAAAAATCTTTTCTACTTTGTCATATATTTTCATAAAAGTGTTCTGATATATCAAAATTTATATATTGATTTCCCATATATATATATATATATATATATATATATATGTGTGTGTGTGTTTTTTATATATATATATATATATATATATATATATATATAAGTGAACATAGAAGTCGACATTTAGACGCGACAGTCTGTTTCATGCTAGATGCAATTGTCAGGTAAGCGTTGACTTCTATGTTCAATTTTATATTTACACATGCTCTATCTCTGATATTGAGCACTTTATCCCATAAATATAACACACCTTAAGACTATAATTCTTCATATATATATATATATATATATATATATATATATATATATATATATATATATATCATAGGTAAGCATAGCTTATATGTGGTGCAAGGCCAAAAGTAGGGAGCACCCAGTAAGGATCAAACTCACTACTCATAATTAATCTATTGAAACAAACTTGCTAACCATTACACCATGTCGAAGTACCCTCATATACCCCAATATTTTCAATATACTTGCTGATTATAATAAAGATAAACTTGGTTTTTCCCACTCACTATTGTTACTTATTAATGTAAATAATTCATTAATAATACTGTTTTCATGTAAACTGTTGTCATATTTGATATTACTGTTATTTTCATTATCATTATCATCCCAGTCATTCCTTGTTTGTACCCTTTTACATATTATCACCTTCACTGTTACCATCAAGAAGACTTGCTATTATTACTACTAGTTTGCATATGATTTGATCTTTACAATTTCTATTATAACTCCTGCTAATATTGTAACTTTGATGTTGCCATGGTGACTACTGTCTTTTCCCCTACCCTCTGCTTTATGATTTGTGAGTCTGGGAAGATGCATTCATACAAGTCTTTACTTTCATTGGGTGCTTGTCTCCTTGATATGAAAGCACTTCTCTGTTCAATGGGCTCTTGGTTTCTGCACAGGAATTCTTTTCTTTTTCTTTCTTTTTTCTTTCCTCTTCTCTCTTTTTTTCTTCTGCACTTCTTATTAATCATCAGTGGAAATAAACATTAAAATTGTTTTCCTTTTTATAAAGGTTTGACCCACCACTTGCATCTTTTTCCTCTTCTCTCTCTTCTGTTTTGTATCTCTCCTTATTAATCATCAGTGGAAATAAAAATTAAGATTGTTTTCCTTTTTATAAAGGTTTGACCCACCACTTGCATCTTTTTTCCTCTTCTCTCTCTTCTGTTTTGTATCTCTCCTTATTAATCATCAGTGGAAATAAAAATTAAAATTGTTTTCCTTTTTATAAAGGTTTGACCCACCACTTGCATCTTTTTCCTCTTCTCTCTCTTCTGTTTTGTATCTCTCCTTATTAATCATCAGTGAAAATAAAAATTAAGATTGTTTTCCTTTTTATAAAGGTTTGACCCACCACTTGCATCTTTTTCCTCTTCTCTCTCTTCTGTTTTGTATCTCTCCTTATTAATCATCAGTGAAAATAAAAATTAAGATTGTTTTCCTTTTATAAAGGTTTGACCCACCACTTGCATCTTTTTTTCCTCTTCTCTCTCTTCTGTTTTGTATCTCTCCTTATTAATCATCAGTGAAAATAAAATTAAGATTGTTTTCCTTTTATAAAGGTTTGACCCACCACTTGCATCTTTTTTTCCTCTTCTCTCTCTTCTGTTTTGTATCTCTCCTTATTAATCATCAGTGGAAATAAAAAATTAAGATTGTTTTTCCTTTTTATAAAGGTTTGACCCACCACTTGCATCTTTTTTTTCTTCTCTCTCTTCTGTTTTGTATCTCTCCTTATTAATCATCAGTGAAAATAAAAATTAAGATTGTTTTCCTTTTTATAAAGGTTTGACCCACCACTTGCATCTTTTTTTTTTCCTCTTCTCTCTCTTCTGTTTTGTATCTCTCCTTATTAATCATCAGTGAAAATAAAAATTAAGATTGTTTTCCTTTTTATAAAGGTTTGACCCACCACTTGCATCTTTTTTCCTCTTTTCTCTCTTCTGTTTTGTATCTCTCCTTATTAATCATCAGTGAAAATAAAAATTAAGATTGTTTTCCTTTTTATAAAGGTTTGACCCACCACTTGCATCTTTTTTTTCCTCTTCTCTCTCTTCTGTTTTGTATCTCTCCTTATTAATCATCAGTGAAAATAAAATTAAGATTGTTTTCTTTTTTATAAAGGTTTGACCCACCACTTGCATCTTTTTTCCTCTTCTCTCTCTTCTGTTTTGTATCTCTCCTTATTAATCATCAGTGAAAATAAAAATTAAGATTGTTTTCCTTTTTTAAAGGTTTGACCCACCACTTGCATCTTTTTCCTCTTCTCTCTCTTCTGTTTTGTATCTCTCCTTATTAATCATCAGTGAAAATAAAAATTAAGATTGTTTTCCTTTTATAAAGGTTTGACCCCACCACTTGCATTTTTTCCTCTTCTCTCTCTTCTGTTTTGTATCTCTCCTTATTAATCATCAGTGAAAATAAAAATTAAGATTGTTTTCCTTTTTATAAAGGTTTGACCCACCACTTGCATCTTTTTTCCTCTTCTCTCTCTTCTGTTTTGTATCTCTCCTTATTAATCATCAGTGAAAATAAAAATTAAGATTGTTTTCCTTTTTATAAAGGTTTGACCCACCACTTGCATCTTTTTTCCTCTTCTCTCTCTTCTGTTTTGTATCTCTCCTTATTAATCATCAGTGAAAATAAAAATTAAGATTGTTTTCCTTTTTATAAAGGTTTGACCCACCACTTGCATCTTTTTCCTCTTCTCTCTCTTCTGTTTTGTATCTCTCCTTATTAATCATCAGTGATAAAAATAAAAATTAAGATTGTTTTCCTTTTTATAAAGGTTTGACCCACCACTTGCATCTTTTTTCCTCTTCTCTCTCTTCTGTTTTGTATCTCTCCTTATTAATCATCAGTGAAAATAAAAATTAAGATTGTTTTCCTTTTTATAAAGGTTTGACCCACCACTTGCATCTTTTTTCCTCTTCTCTCTCTTCTGTTTTATCTCTCCTTATTAATCATCAGTGAAAATAAAAATTAAGATTGTTTTTCTTTTTATAAAGGTTTGACCCACCACTTGCATCTTTTTTCCTCTTCTCTCTCTTCTGTTTTTTATCTCTCCTTATTAATCATCAGTGAAAATAAAAATTAAGATTGTTTTCCTTTTTTTATAAAGGTTTGACCCACCACTTGCATCTTTTTTCCTCTTCTCTCTCTTCTGTTTTGTATCTCTCCTTATTAATCATCAGTGAAAATAAAAATTAAGATTGTTTTCCTTTTTATAAAGGTTTGACCCACCACTTGCATCTTTTTTCCTTTTCTCTCTCTCTTCTGTTTTTTGTATCTCTCCTTATTAATCATCAGTGGAAATAAAAATTAAAATTGTTTTCCTTTTTTATAAAGGTTTGACCCACCACTTGCATCTTTTTTCCTCTTCTCTCTCTTCTGTTTTGTATCTCTCCTTATTAATCATCAGTGGAAATAAAAATTAAAATTGTTTTCCTTTTATAAAGGTTTGACCCACCACTTGCATCTTTTTCCTCTTCTCTCTCTTCTGTTTTGTATCTCTCCTTATTAATCATCAGTGAAAATAAAAATTAAGATTGTTTTCCTTTTTTATAAAGGTTTGACCCACCACTTGCATCTTTTTTTCCTCTTCTCTCTCTTCTGTTTTGTATCTCTCCTTATTAATCATCAGTGAAAATAAAAATTAAGATTGTTTTCCTTTTTATAAAGGTTTGACCCACCACTTGCATCTGTTTTGTATCTTTTTTCCTCTTCTCTCTCTTCTGTTTTGTATCTCTCCTTATTAATCATCAGTGAAAATAAAAATTAAGATTGTTTTCCTTTTATAAAGGTTTGACCCACCACTTGCATCTTTTTTCCTCTTCTCTCTCTTCTGTTTTGTATCTCTCCTTATTAATCATCAGTGAAAATAAAAATTAAGATTGTTTTCCTTTTTATAAAGGTTTGACCCACCACTTGCATCTTTTTTCCTCTTCTCTCTCTTCTGTTTTGTATCTCTCCTTATTAATCATCAGTGAAAATAAAAATTAAGATTGTTTTCCTTTTTATAAAGGTTTGACCCACCACTTGCATCTTTTTTCCTCTTCTCTCTCTTCTGTTTTGTATCTCTCCTTATTAATCATCAGTGGAAAAAATAGTTTCATTTCTCTTTGTAAATAGCTAACCCACCACTTGTTTCAGAGTTTTTTTCTTTTTTTTTCTCTCTCTCTCTCTCTTATATATATATATATATATATATATATATATATATATATTCAGGTGTACAACAATTTGCACATTCTACTTTGGAATTGTTTTTATCTATTCATTCATGTCTTCACCAGTGACATTAGCTATAAGTACAAAAAGAAAAAAATCTGTTTCCTCAATAGCAAGTTGAACTGTTGGCAGATGCTTTGAAGGTTATTTTACTTGGTAGGTAGATGTTGGGCTTGTGAGGAATTTCAGGCACTTTTAGCATTGAAAGCGTGCGTATTAAAAGAAAGTGACCTGTTAGTGGTGTTATGTAGCCAAAAGAATTTTTTCAAGGTTCATTTTTTTTTTTTTTTTTTTTCAGAAGCACTAATAGTTTATATATTCTTGAAATATGAATAAAAACATCTATAGACAGTCTTGCAAAATAACTGAAACTTGGATCTTTTACAATAGTGGAATTAGAAGCAGTTTCAGTTGTTGTGTGGCTGAATATTGGCTTTTAAAGTTTGGATATGCACTTTTTGGCAAAGAACAAATGATGGCAATTATGAGTGATGATTCTTGCAAAAGCAAGAATTTGTGCAGTATGTTAGTTTTCCTCTGTTAATTATTAACAGTTTTTAAAAAGAAAAAAAGCAGAAATTTTAACATTTTTATTTCATAACAAAATAAGTCTTAAATTATAAAATTAAAATATCTCCCAAGTTTTCTTGGCAAAAACATAAATATAAATAAATAATTTTTTGAAGATTTGATTATCTTTAAAAAATGTAACAGATCAATTGAAATTAAGTATATCTATTATTTGATTTTTTTTTTTTTTTTTTTAATTAAAAAGAATTTAAAATTTAATTGATTCAAACTAGATCAGTTTTTCAACACTTTAAATGAATAATTTTCACTTTATTGAATGCAGATATATCAGTCAGAAAGAATACTTGTTATTAAGGTTTAATTGGCTGCTTTTGCTAAGTGGCTAAATCATTACTTGTTCATTTTCTTTGCAAGTGGGGCTTTCTGGTAAACATTTATAAAAAATAGATGCTTAATGTATAGTTTTTATATTTATTAAAAATATTAATAGTAATTTGTTTAGTAGAGTGTCAAGTTAAAAGTAAATTAAATACAATGTAAAGTTTTATTTATAAATAAATCCAAAAGCTATAGTCTATAGAAACAAGTTTCCTTAAAATAATATTCCATATACCTAAAGAAATTGTTAATTTCCATGTTAATATGGACTTTTTAACATTCAATAACTTTCATTAGTCTTTCAGTGTATTGATTTTCTTAAATTTTTTAACTTTCAAATAATTGTAGCAGTTTTATTTTTTTCCCAGACATATGGTAATATTAGCTGTTTCCTTATAAGGAAACATTTGGCATTCATTGACTGAACAGACAGTGCTGCTATTAGCTGAAATTTATAAAATCTTTCTCTTAAAAAATTTTTTCAGGAAAATAGGTTTCTCAAGTCCAGTAGCTGTTATTGCTCTTTTCAGTATTGATGGGAATTTCCTTCCTAACCTTTTTATTTGAGTAGTGTGGAATGTCAACATCTTGATTATCTCATTATTTTCTCTTTCAGCTATGTGTGATATTCATTTTAGCTGTTGCTATTGTTGAAAGTCCTCAAGTGATGTGGTTTCTGTTATCTGATACAGCTTTTTGTTCGTGATTCTACAGTGCCAATCCACTCAAAGAATATTGAAAGAAGGGCAGTCTTAGCCAAAACTCACAGGCTTCACTCATTCAAAACCATTTTTAACCATTGACCTTAGAAAGTGGTTGTATACAACTGACAGTTTAGATATTTGGGAATTTGTTTGGCACCATATGAAAGCTTCTACCTGAAAAGCTATTTAAGAACATGATTTGAGTTTTCAGTTTAATATTTGATTTTGTAGCAATTTGCAGTTTGGGGTAAAACTGTCTCTAGCTCAGACAATTCTATGATCAATTTCCTTTTCTCCTATAATTTAGGAGAATGAATACAAAACCAGAATCATATTTAAATAGAACCATTTTTGATAGAATTGTCAATTGGCACAAAAAGAGAAATTTCTGAAGATTGTACTGATTTTGTATTTGACTGTTAAAGTTTTGATGGGTACATGTTATAAATTGTTTTTGTTTTTTTTTCAAGAATTTTTAATTAAAAAAAGTTGATAAATTTGTCAAAGGCTGTTTCAATATGATCTTGATTGAAAAAGTTCTTGTTGATAAGGAAGATACTTGAAAACTGATAAACTACAAAAAATAATTTAGATGAAATATATATATATATATATATATAAAGTAATATCTGGCATTGTTTTTGCAACTGAAGAACTGATCATGCAACAGACTGTTACACACAAATGGTTCTGTTGCTATGAATCACTCATTTTCCAGAGGAGATAATCTGCTTTCAGATGTTTTTGTTTCACATTCATATTCAGCCATCTATATCTGTTTATTTTACAAAAGCAATTTTTCATTTTCATTACATTTGTATTATTATTATGATAATGCAAAGATGGATCAATTTCATACAAGCTTCTCTATATTTGATTTTTGAGTTGTTCTACATTCATTTTAAATAAAATCCATTTATTAAGTTCTGTTTCTTCCTTGTCACAGTAAAATAATTTGAAATGCTTTCAATTGATAGATTTGCAATTTGTTAAGAGTTTGCTGGTGGTTTTGAAATCACTTTCACCTGCAGCCTTCAAATTATATTTGATTGATTAGATTTGGTTGACTGCATTCTTATGTATTTTTAAGCTGAAAATTTGAGTTACAAAACTTTGAAAGCCAAATCTTATTGTCTCCTAACATTTTCCCCAAATATTGAATTTATCAGTTTAATCACAAAAACTTAAATTCATTGAAAATGTTGATTTGATGATTTCAAAGTCTTATTCATTTGAAAGTGTAATAAAAACTGAAATTTTTACTGAATCATTTGCATATATAAAATAATATATATGTAGGATATATAGAGAGTGTTGAAAAGTTCTTGATCTGATCAAGAAGCCCTTCCAAAAAATGTTTTATTTCCAAACATTATAAACCCAATTGGATCTATTTTAGCAAAAACCAAAATTTCTTTTTTACTTTCTTATTTAGTCATTATGTTGATTTACCACTTGTCTTTTGAGACATTGTAGAGATGCATAAGACCTTTATTTAGTACTGAACAATAATGGTTCGAGTTTACTAGTCTCTTGCAACTACTGATCATGCCAAATTATGGGCCGTTTCCCAGAAACTGTAACTAAGGTCTGCTTAGCATAGTTGCAATATAACCCTTGGGTTGGTTCTATGGGTGTTTCCAAGCAAGTGTCTGCATATAGTTTTTGAATTCAGAGTTATTCGTTTTCTAGACTGGTTGCCTGCCAAGGCTGAAGAGGACAGTTTGCTTTACTATTTAACCAATAGCTGGTTAGAGAAAAATTAATTCATACCTCCCCCAAGGGTATTTGCATGTGAATATAATAAATTCAACTGGAATTTGAACACCTCTCTCATTATTCATTACACCACCTGCACATCCTAAACTTGTGCAGGTGGTGTTTTAATAAAGACTTTTTTTTTTTTTTTGCAGTTAACTCTTCCCTGCTAATTAATTCATTTTTTTGTCATAAATTGATGAATGAAACTACTAAATCATTCATTTTTGAATTTTTGAATAAATATCTATAAAAATAAGAACTGGAAAAGATATACCCAGACATGGCCAGTGGAATGTCAACAGTCTACTTCTGTATATTAAACAAAGAATTTACTTCTGAATTCCCTGTAGGTTACCCAAATTGATATACAACTGATTATGGTTAGAAGGTATAATGGCCGAAACATTGTGATACCAACAACAAAGATGAGGACAATAATCCACATGTAAATCCTAGAAATTCAGACAAAAATATCTAAGTTGTCAGTTTGGCCTATTATAAGTAATTTTGTCTGTATTGAGTTCTAATTTTCATCACAGAACAAAAAATTAGATCAGTAGATTGGATAAAATATATTGGAGGCAGCATTTGATGATACGAGAAATGTTTCTGTATTTCTTGAATGTTTTTTATTAGAAACTCCAGTTTTAAAGTGTTGAAAAACTATTAGAAAGTAAATATTGACAAAAAATATAAAAGAATAACGGCTTATATAATATTACAAGTACATAAGTGTATTAAAATAAATGATGTAAATATCAACAGTAGTCTGTTTATGCTATATAATGATTATGGATTTTACAAGTACATAAATATATTGATTTCTAGAAAATTATATAGTTTCAAAGAGGAGAGTATGTTCACCACGAATATCAGCTAGTGTTGACTTGAACAGAATATAGTGGTGTTGATGGGGTAATGGTACTGTTATTTAAAAAAAAAAAAAAACAGATAAAAATAGAGTATCGTTGGAGGCTTTATCTTGTATCTAAGAATTTAATTTCTTCTTTTCTGACTGCATCCTTTTTTTGATGATGACTAAGTAGACAAATTCTTGCATGGAAGGGCCAATGGTATTGATTGGATAGTCATGTTGGCAGAGGATGAAGTTGATTTCATCAAACATTTCTCTCTTGTTGTTTGGCACATGGTTAGTTGATATGGTCTTGTGCATGTGTTTCAAATGATTTAGGCTTAAGTCTAGTGGCTTTCAGTGTTTTGAGTTGGTCATTGTATCTTTGAAGAGGGCAACCCCATGGTTTTTTCCCTGCAATGAGCTCCCTGAATAAGACTTGACATGGTAACCTTGACTCTTCCATTCTTGCTAAATGTCATTACCATGTTATGAAAGAATATTTTGTTGATATTTATTGGTTTTCTTTTTTGGATGATATTTTATCATTATTATTTCATTTTCAGTGCACACGATTGGCCACACTTTGTGATGAAATTGTCATCAATTCTCGTGATCCCTTAGAATTTCAACCTGCATCACTTGAGCTGGCAACCATTACGAAGAAACTTGGTGAAACCATTGTAAGTATATAAAGCAAATGCTATAAAATAAGTCACTTTAAGTATATCAACAAGTGTACTTTGTTATCATCATTTCTTCTTACAAGGCTATTGTTATTTTGAGGTGTATAAAATCTAATTGCAAAAAAAAAAAAAAAGAATTGTGAGGTTGCATTAAATTGGGATTTGAATAATTTTAAACCAAATGTGAAAAAATACTAACAAAAAAAGAAAAAATTAACATTGAACTCGTCATGCCATGGAAACAAAAACATGAATAACAAAGGCTGAGTCATGTATCCACCCTGACTGCTTAAAGGGATCCACTTGTGACACTCAAGGCAGTAGGTAGTCACAGAGTTCACCAGTGGCTTCTTGGTCAACAGACCTGACACAAGCTTCAACACCAGGCTTGTACATTAGATTCCCCATCCTCCAGGTTGCTTCCCTCATTCACAAAGAGACCTTAATCCTCTATACCAGCAGAGAATTTTAGCATATCTTATCTCCTTTTCTTTTCACCTCACCAACAGTATTTTGTTGTTTCATTTCTCTTTCAACTCTACATGGTATATAATATATACTTATTTGTATATACTCTTATTACTTACTTATGACAGAAGTGGATGACAAGAAATTGCATATGTATTATTCCATACATATTAAGAAACTAGCTGACTCTCCTGTAGAAAACCATATCCAAAGATAAAGTAGAAAAATGAACCATATATTCAAGAAGGGTTCACACTAATCTTTCCTGTGATAAGATTCAAATAATTGAATGGAAATATTATTGAAATGTTCAGAAATTGAAAGCAGCAGCAGCAGCTGTACACATTAATTTAACTAGCAAGCCAGGCTAATTTGGATTTTTATGTGAGATTATCAACATTGTAAACGGAATCAGAAAACTGAGTACAAATTTTGGCTTTTCAAATGATGAAACATCAGAATTTTTATTAAGGGTTAAAGAAATTTGAGAGGGAAATATGTAGAATAGCATGTACATTTCATATCTCTAACTTATTCTTGTTTCTCCCACCAAGAATTTTCAGCATTCCTTTGTCACTTTATTTTACTAATAACAATTTACAACAAATGTTTTTTTTTATTCTAGGGTCTTCATATTGTATCTTACTATGGCATCCATGTAATTGGAGATATCAAAGACCTAGTGAGTATCTTTATTGGTTGATTAATTGACTTTTAAGGTTTATCAACCTTTTGCAGGTTATTTAAAGCCAGAAAATATTTTTAGAGTGTTAGAATTTATTTTAATTTTTTATAATAATAATGTACTAATACTATTACTAATTAACCTATAGCTGGAGGAAGAAGAGGTAGTATTTGTCAAGGTTATTTGTGCATAAGGGAATATAATGAACCCAACTGAATTGGAACTCGGCTCTCTGACTTCCAAATCTGAGCCATTACTCATTACACCACCCACACATCCAAGCACCTGTTATTCCCAATTGGTCACTTATCTAGATACAGACCAGGCTTAACTTCAGTAATCATACAAGAACCGATGTTTCAACATGATATTGCCATAAGCTGAGAGTATCTTTAGTATCACATACTGCTGAAGTGTATTTTTATTGCAAGGTAAATGAACATCAAGTTGTATCAATGATCAAGAATATACTTTGCAATTTAACCCTTTTGCTGTCAATCTTATTAGTAATAAAGAAAGTTATGTTATGCTCTGCCTCAAATTTTACCTTTTTCTGGTTCACTTCACATCAAAACCTGTCAGCTGGATGTGAATGCCATGAAAGCAAAATTAAAAATAAAAAGTGGCTCTCTACACAAACAAAAGTAAATCCCCCCCCCCCAATATAAATGTTGGAGCCAATCACAAATGTTACCATTAAAGCAAAAGCATGACAAAAAAAGGCTGAGTCATTTATCTACCCTGTCTGCTTAAAGGACTTGCTTGGCAGTACTTAAGGGAGTTCATAGGTAGTTGAGAGTTCACAACCAGCCAACACAAGCTTCTGTGTCAGGCCCATACACAACCAATTTCCTCATCTTCCACACCCTCTTCCTTACACACAAGAGACATTCCTCCTTGATCCATTATTCCGGCAATACAGATAATTTTATTTTAATATATCTTGTCTCTGTAGTGGTCCTAAGACAGGGTCACTGTTTTAGTTGTCGGGAAATTATCAATAAAGAAAGGCATAAATTGACACCAAAAACTGAGTTAGAACAAAGACAGAGTTCTTAATAAAAAGGCCATAGTTTTATTATTGTCAAACAATGAACAACTTAATTACAATTATGTACATTTGTTGATCTGTAAGAACTTGAAAGAGTCACTGCCTGGTAAGGAATGAAATATTAAAAACACATAGAAATGTTCCAAAATGTAAGTGTGTGGATATGCAGCAAATGTGTTTAATTTAGTAGTGCAGAAAAAGGAGCATGGTAACCACATTCAAGTGGTAAGTCTTTTGGAAAGTTCATGTGTTGTGTCCTTGATGAAAGGAAAGATATCACTTGAGTGAAGTGACTTTTGAATTCAAAAATGGTGACATGCTAAATAAAAATGTTGCACATGGTATGTCGAGACGTAAATAAAAAAAAAATTAGCGGGAAACCAAAATGAAGATTCTGTGATGCTAGGTTGAATGTATATATATATGATTGTTATGGCAACATATCTTAGTTTGTCTTTAATATTTATTTTGCCTATGAAATTAAGTAGATGGCAAAGCTTCCTACAATTATTCTGTAACTTTTTGTTAAATTTTTATGGATTATAAATACATAATTTTTGAAACATACAATGTTTTGTTTGAAATGTGAAATCTGTAACAGAATGGTTATTAGTCCAGGGAGTTAATTCCCTTTTGGTTGGTGAATCAGTGGATATGACATTTCCTTTTCTTTCTATCTTACTGGCGGTACTTTGTTTTCATTTGTTACTCTTTTGCAACCATACATATTGTATATAAGTTACCAGCTTTGTACTTGCATCCAATGTGCTTATCCTGTAATATATAAAATACCAAGAGTAATTTTCAGGGGGAGTTCTTCTAACAGATGATAGAAAATGTGTGACAGAAATCCAAAGATACACTGGAATAGTGAAAATTGCCTTCCAGAAAATTAGCAAAATACTAAAAAATAGGAAAATTTTCTTAGAAACAAAGGCAAGTGCTGAACTGCTATGTAATTAATCCTCCTATATGGCAGTGAATACTGGACAATTTCCTCACAAATGAAGAGGAGACTTCAGGCAACAGAGATGTAATTCTACAGAAGAATTTTGAGAGACCATTAACAAATTACATCTGCGACCTGGGTAAGACGATAAACTACATCCGTGTCCTGGGTAAGACTATAAATTACATCCATGTCCTGGGTAAGACTATAAGCTACATCCATGTCCTGGGTATGGCAATAAACTACATCCGCGTCCTGGGTATGGCAATAGACTACATCCGCGTCCTAGGTATGATGATAAACTACATCTGCGTCCTGGGTATGACGATAAACTACATTCAACAGCAAGGCCTCTGATAATACATTTTTGAAAAAAATAATGTTGCCAGCTATACGTTTTTGGAAAAATAATATTACCAGCTATACGTTTTTGAAAAAATATTATCAGCTATACATTTTTGAGGAAAAAATATTAACAGAAATAGATTTTTGACAAAACAAAAATATTACCTGAAAAAAAAAAAGTTGTTGGCATTAAATGACCCATTGAGGTTGATATGCCGTAAAACAAAACAAACCAAACCAATCTATTACCCACATGCATGGCCTGGGAGTTTGTGCATGAGACCATCTCCCACTGGCTAGGTAACTTTCTCTCGAATCTCCAGACCATTCATACATGTGTCTCCATCTATCTCAACTCAAATCTGTAAGCTATTTCTTCTTTCTCTATCACTCTCCATCCTCCCAAGACTGTCATGTACTCTGTTGCATTTTCGAAAATATAGACAAGGCTATCTCTCTACATCCATCTGCAAACATATTTATGTTTGGTGACTTTAATGCCCACCATACCAAATGGCTTAAACACTCTGTAACTGACCTTCATAGCATACAAACACTTTTCAATCTCTCAATCTCACACACAAGTGGTTGACTTTTGTTCACATTTCTCCAGTAACCATGATGGTAAGGCTTCCCTTCTTGATCTCTGTTTTACCTCCAACAGAACATCATTCTATTATCAATGAGCAGATTGGGATTCATTCTGAGATTTCCTTCATGATGACCCCTGGAATATTGTTTTTAACCTCCCCATCCAAAAATGTGCAGCTGAGGTTTCATCCTGGATAAAAGCTAGAATCAAGGCTTTCATCCCTGCAAGAAAATATAAAGTGAAATTGTATTCATCCCCTTCGTTCTCAGCTGCTTGTTCAGCAGCTATTGTCCACAGGAATCACTATTTCTGTCTATACTGTAGAGACATGTCTGATTGCAACAGACACCTCTTTGTCACTGCCCATAACAAGTGCACGCATGTCCTCAAAGAAGCAAAGTTACTCTTTGCCGAAAGAATGAAAGAATATGGAATAATTGAGCCTTATCTGTCTATATTTCTGAGATGATGTATTATGTACACTATTTACATTATTTGGATGGTTTTCCTCATCTTTGTTGCCATATTTATCACACTCCGGCCTTCTTCAGGTGGTTGGAATGTCGCTCACTGGGGTAGACTGTTCTAGTTCCACATGCCATGTCTAATGGATGTCAGTTATCTCCTGTTAATTCCCCTCTCCAAGTTCTCCACTGCCTTAACCAGGTATTGAACTCATACTCTTTGGGTCCAGTCACTAGATCTAACTAACGCCTTTATCCACTGTGCCATGTGTTCTTGAGGACAGCTGTGTATGAATTTGACATTTTGGATATTATAAACCTAATGTCTTCAGAAACCATCTTTTACCAGTGTTCATATTGAAATTTTTGCTGTTATCATTGAATGTTTTTACCAGAGCTCATATTGCAATTTTCGTTGTTGTTATTGCTTTCTCTGGCACTCCTTATTACTGGTTCTCATATTGTATTCATTTCAATGCTTGGTCAGCTCAGAAGATTTTTGTGGCCTAGCATATGTGCTGATTCCTTAAGTTTACAAATTTTCCAATGATGTTCTTTGTCTATGATTTCAACCTGATCCCACAGAGGGCGGTGATCTCCCTTTTCTCTCCATATGTGGTCAGCCACACCTGTTTTTTCCATTTCCCCTCATGTTACAGCTTTCTGGTGTTCTTGAAGCCTTACCTTTAGGGGGTGGCCTGTCTCTTCTTTATATTTCTTTCCGCAGCTGCATGGGATGGCGTACATATAGTCTTTAGTCATGTTCTCCTCTATGTGAAGCGGGGGTCTTACATAGGAGAGATATCTGCAAAGTGTCGTTCAGCTTTTGAAAGTTGTCCTGATGTTATATGGACTGCAGATCCTTTGTATTTCCTCTGATAACCTCTTCACATAAGGCAGGCAGACTGAGTGTTGTTGTCTTCCTCTTGTACCCACCTATCTCAGGGTACATGGCAGCAGCCCTAATAAACTGGGATAGGCGGAAATAAAGGGTTCAGTTCAGCATTCCAACCACCTGAAGAAGGCCAGAGCGTACAATGGCCAAAACGTGATAAATATGGCAACAAAGATGAGGACAATAGTCCAAATATTGTAAATTGTGAGCCTTACTTTGCTGTAATGGCTTTCCATAGCTTAATAGTAAAGCATGCTTGAATGTGGTTTCCAAAATTAAAAAGGGAATACAGGTTTGATCCCTGTCAGGGGACACATTTTCTTTAGTAAGACTTTTGATTGCTCAGGCTGGTAGATATTAATTTCACTGATATATATATTTTTTTTTTGTAAAGAAAAGAATTATGGTGACATCTCCTCAAAGCATGTGTACTCAATACATATAATATTTATACATATATTTGCATTCAAGTTTGATTAAAATCAAAATTAAAACCTTTGGAGAACAAATATCTTTTTTTAGTAAAACTTATTTTTCTATATACTGTGTCCTTTCATGTCTCATTCTGACCTCCATTTTTTTTTATGTGGGTTACTCCCAGTTTTGCCTCAGTTTCTCTTGTCTTCAATATATCTGTAGAGTGTCACATTTTCAAAGCCTTCTTTTCCTCATTATTCCTGTCTCTAAGTATAATTTTTCTTAAAGCAACTTCATTGCTTACAGGCTCCATAAATAGTATTCTCAGAATCCTTCAGTACAACCACAACTCTGTTGCTTCAAGTCTCATCTTCAATTTTATCTGAGAAAATTGTCCAGCAGTCACTGCTATATATGAGGACTGATATTATTTAGTAGTTCAGCATTCTTTGTTGCTAATTAAATTTTCTTGTTTCTTAATACTTTGTTTAGCTTTTGGAAAGCATCTTTTGCTATTCTAATGCCATCTTGGACTGTTTCTTTTGCTAATAACCATACATTTTGTCTTCTTGTATAGAAGATAGTCTGAACATTTGATCTCTGCTTCTGGCCATTATTAAAATCAGAATATTGCAGATGTTATTATTTTTGGAGAATTTAAACTCATAATTGTAGTACAGTCTGACCTCTTGAATCCAGCACCCTTCGGACCAGGTTAACTCCAGACCACAGAAAATGCTGGTTGGCAGAAATCCTGCCTGACAAAAGATTTATCATAATGATTTGAGGCAAGGTTTTACAAGCCTGGATACACTTCTTGGTGCCTAACTCAACACTCACGGTTGTCCAAGTGTTTTTATCAAGACACAATCTTATCAAGACACAAAAAGTTGCCATTCAAGTCTTGATACCCCAACATTTTGTGTATGTATATATATATATATATATATATATATATATATATAATACAGACAAAAATAGTTTACTCCCTACAAAGATGCAACTTTGTTTCGGTGCATTTCAGTTGCATCTCTGGGGTTCTCATTTCTCATTTGATGAGATATAGCACATATACACTATGGATTTTGTTAAGCACCTGTTTGATAATGAACATTTATCAAGGATTCTGCAATTACATAGTTCTTTTTCTTGGGATATATTAGAATTTGTGTTTGGGTTGCATTTAAACAAATGGAAAAAAGGAAGTGACATTTCACATACTTGCCTACTAGCAGAATTGTTCATAAACATATTTGGTTCTCACCCATTGAGGTGCAATTGAAATGCACCAAAATGAAGTTGAATTTTTGTAGTAAGTAAACTGTTTTTGTCTATATGATAAAATTATAATAAATAATTATCACTCTACTACCAGTATCGAGCCCTCTTTTGGATTAATGCTGTGAACGTTAGAATTTATATATTACTTTCATTCTCATTGCATTGGATATATAGATATATATATATATATATATATATATATATATATATATATAAAAACATATTGTTAAATATAACACACAATGAATGTTTATTATGTTTGATCATGAGCCATTCTAAATGTCATATATTTGCTTTAATTTTGGGCGAATATAAAGACAAAAATTGTCCAACCTATGGATATTGTTTTTATTAGGCTGTTCCTTGATCTATGCTTTCAACTCACATGAGCCATCTTCACAGTGGTTATGCGGACATTTAAACAAAGATATTCACCATCAAAGATGATATTCTGTTATGTTGACATAAAAGATTGCTATGCAACAATAATGGTTGTGGAATAGCAAATGCAGGTTGTAAATTCATGATGCAGTTCTATATATATATATATATATATATATATATATATAGGTTTTACTACAACTACGCTCTCCCGTAGACTTACCTGTCACCTTTCTGATCTTAGTTTTATTAAACAACATTTCTCAAAAAAAAATTAATTGATATAATGATAACAATACTCACATATACACACAGTAAATGAACCTTCAGATACTGGAAGCCATCTACATGAAAACAAAGCAACCCACACTAAACCAAATTACATTTCAAACTAGTCACATTACTTATCGATCTACATATCACCATGCTTAATACAATATTATTCATATGAAAAAAAATTATATACACACACATACGAATTTATTTCAGTTCCAGCCTATAACTTCTTTTGCTTTTTCTTTTAATTCATTTAGTGATTTTAAGTTCAGAGTTTTTTTTTATATTTTGTATCAGAAAAATTTATTAAACACATTAATCACCATGTGTTTTGTGTATTTTACCATTTCTTTTATATAAGTAAGATGTGTATATCTATATGTATGGCTTTAAAATATTAAGTGTTTATATAAGTATATATGTGATGTTATACTTTTTAGATATAACTACAATTTATATGTATTCTTTAGATATATGAGTGGCTATAATCACAAATATATTTATCTATATATTTGTATATAGATAAATATGCTTGTGATTATAGCAGAAGTGGCCAAAATAAAATATACATAGGATGTACTGAAGGTACTTCCAAACATAGATGTTACAATCATAGGTTGTCATTTAAGCTAGTAAATCTTAGGTACTCTACCAAACTAGCTAACCCTCTGTGGAATTTAAAAAACAACAAGGAACCGATTGTAAGGTGGAAAATTTTAAAAAAAGCAAAGCCTTATAACAGCCACAACAATATTTGCAACCTCTGCCAGCAGGAGAAGTTGTCAATTATGATGTTTCCAGATCCAAAGAACCTTCTGAACCAGAAATCAGAAGTCTTAAGTCCTTTCTTATATATTTGAAAATTTTGCTTAAGCACATATGAGGCTGGATAAAAAAAAAGTAATGTACATTTCAGTTAACCCCGCCTTCTCACTGATACATTTATAATACCCTTGCTTTTCTTCTTTTCCTACTTCCTTCTTCACATCCTCCTCCTTCCCTTTCTGTTACACCCAACATGTATGTGTATATATATATATATATATATATATATAATTACACGTGTAGATATGCCATGATATTTATGTGTATAGATAAATTATTCTCTTTTTGTATTCTAGTTGGAGGTATATAAATTGTGTGGATGTGTGTTTTTTGTACATTTCTTTTTTTCATTTTTTATATTTTAATTGTTTTTAAATTTTATTTAAATTCTGATCATATAAGTTGTGTATAGCTGCAATTTTGTGTTGTTTTTAATAATTTTAGTTTTTGAAGGCTCACTTATCAGAATGTTATTATTATTATTATTATTATGGTGTGACATTATGAAATTAAGATAAAGAAACTATTTGTTGTCAGTTTGCTTTGCCTTCTAACAAAATGCATGTACCATCAAGAAATATTAACGTATACATTTCATATATTTATAACAGTCACCTGCACAGCTCAGTGGGAAAATTATGAAGGGAGATGAAGTTATTCAAGTCAACAATCAAACTGTGGTAAGAGCAATATATTATTTTATATAATTAAGTTACTTATATAATTAAGATTTAGTTTCCAAATTGCCCAGATAGTCATTTGAATTGAGTCAGTTAACAAAAAAAATGTATGATTTTTTATTTCTATTATATATATATATATATATATATATATATATATATATATATATATATACATAAAAGTGAACATAGAAGTCATGACCTGACAATTGCATCTAGCATGAAAACAGCCTGTTGCCTCTAAGTGTTGACTTCTATGTTCACTTTTTTATATTTACACATGCTCTCTCTGATATTGAGCACTTTATCCCATAAATATAGCACATCTTAAGACTATATTTCTTTTTATATATATATATATATATATATATATATATATATATAAATTGGCAGCAGATATTTTAGATTGCTTTTTTTCCTTCACCATGATTATTGGATCAGGAATTCTTTAAAATATTAAAATAGAAAACTTAATTCATTCAAGTAATTTGTGAAAAACAATTTTAATATTTTACAACTTAAAAATATACAGAAGCTTTTACTAAATATTGTGTAACTTTTTTGACCTGACATTAACACTTTCATTGTTGCCTGGCTGTACTGGTCTGTTTGGTTGGGTGGGAGTAGCAAAATGCCATTTACTGGAAATAAATGACTATAAAGATGTTGATGGAAATTTCTCATGGGTGCCATCATTTTAGTTTAGTTCAGACACTGTAGTACAGACTAAGCTAAATAACACCTTCAATACATAATGAAAATAAGTCACAAGACAGATTGTATAGTATGCTGCGATATGTCTATAATGGTTTGGAAATAGCACTAAGTGCTAGTGAGTTTATAATAAAAAATATTAAGGAATGACATTTCATGGTGTCATCAAAATATATATGTCGATAGCAGGCAATGTAAGTTTTGTAATGATAAGTAGGCCCACAACTATACCCAAAGTGTTAAATATATATGATATATTCTTCTGAATACTTAAAGAAACTCACGAATTGTACTATTTGTTTGACAGATTTAATTCTGTACAGTATTGGCTTGCTTCAATAGGTAGCCATAGTCTACTTTTGTATTATTTATTATTACAATTCTGCAAATATGCAGTACTTTTGTATGCTGGATTTTCCACTAAAAGAAAGGCTTACAGCCATATCACATGGATAGAGCATTTTCATCTTAAGCATGTGACACCATTGAGAAATGCCTGAAAACCAAACTTTATGATGAAATTGAGTAACCAAAACTATTTAGAAACTGTCAATTATTGCACTAGCAAGAGCTAGGAGGAAAAAAGATGGATTCATACTCTTTCCCAAGGGTCTTCACACGTAAGTGAATATAACAAGCCTGACTAGAATTGGAACTCAACTTTCTGATTTCCAATTCTAAGCTGTTATCCATTACACCACCCTCACATCCAAGCTTACAACACCTTATATTCCATAGTGGTCACCCATCTAGGTACTGACCTGGCTCAATGTTGTTTAACTTTGATGATCATATGGGAATCAGTGTTTTGTGATATGGCCATAGCCTTCCCACACTAATAAGTTATGTTACTCACACAACCCTCCATGCCAAATGATCTTAATTCCTGATGAAATCAGAATTGTTGCTGAATTGGGAAATATCTGCTGTTTAAATGTACAAATGTAAAGATCTTATTCTCTTACTGATTTCATTGTTAGAATTCTTAGTCAATTGTAAAAGATGACATTAAAAACTAAAAAGTAATCAGGATCAGTTATTTAATAAATATCGTAAATAAAATTATCTAAAAACTTAATTGATAGGATTTGTGCTTTCAAATATGTTAAAACTTTAGCAACAAATTTTATTTTTTACCTGAGCTCAAACATTCAGAATGATGATTTTATTTTACTTGGTTTATGAATTAGAACTAAATTTACTACACAAGCAAATTTGTCTGTAAAATAAATTTGCTGTTAGGGTTACAATATGGTAATGCTAATATTAGTTGTTTCCTTATAAGAAAACCTCCAGCATTCATTGACTAATTATAAAATCTTTCTCTTTAAACAATTATTCAGGAAAATAGGTTTCTCAAGTTGTTATCACACTTTCCAGTATTGATGGAAGTTTCCTTCCTAACCTTTTATTTGAAGTAGTGTGTAATGTCAGCATTTTGATTATGTGATTTTCTTTTTGAGTTACATGTGATATCTGTTTTAGCTGTTGCAAATCCTGAAGTGATGTGGTTTCTGTTATTTGGTACAGTTCTTTGTTTTTGTTTCTGTAGTGCCAGTTTATAAGGTTCAAATAAGTGTGGTCTTCACCAAGACACACAGGCTTCACTTACTCAAAGCCATTTGTAACCATTGATCTTAGAAAGAGGTTGTTCATGGCTAACAATTTAGATATTTCTGAGGTTTGGTGTCATTTATGACATCCATATGAAAGTCTTCATCTGATGAGGCAATTTAAGAACATCTCAGAATGGTGAGATGTGGAAATGGGGATCAAGTTGTCAGTCACTTAACAGTTAATTGCAAATAGAACTTTTGTAGATACATTTTTTTTTCTTAATACATATACCTTTATTTTGGGGTCCCAAATATCTCTCGCTTATTCAAGGGAGGTAATTTAACTGATATATCGCAATATTGACACATCTGAATTAAATTTTTGGATGCTTGTGTAGATTCAATTTTGATTAGTTAAGGGGAATAACTCAGTCATACCTACTATATCTGTGTGATTTAGAAATCTTTATTTGATGAATCTTTATTTTGTGTTCGACATCTAATTGAAGTGAAATGTTAAATTTCTTCATATTGAATATTTTTTGTGATTATAGGTTGGTTGGCAACTGAAAAAACTTGTGTCTAACGTGAAAGAGAAGCCAAAAGAAGTAGTCCTATTGCTTAAAAAGCGTCCCCACCATACTAACCCATATGGACACATCCCAAACCGACGTAAGATCTCAAACAAACAGCAGACTTCTACTTTACCAAAATCCCTCAAGAAGCGTCGGTGTAGAGAAGAAGAGAAAACCTCACGCTCATCATTTCAGGAGTATGTTTCGTCTAGTGTTGCCACGGAGCTTTTCTCTCCTAAGTAAGTGATAGATTCTTTATTGAATTTTACCTTGTACAGTGTAACCTGGATATAAGAGATTTTCTCTGGTCCCAAATTAGAGCCTGTGTTAATGTATATAAAATAGACCAAACCTGGATATAAGAGAAACCTGGATATAAGAGACTTCTTCTCCGGTCCCGACAACTCTCTTATATCCGAGTTACACTGTACATATATGTAGTAAGTGACATTATGAAAGAAGTGTGAGTTCTATCTTCTCTTACCAGCATGTTTTAATTGATTTAATTTTTATTTGAAATTATTTTAATGAAATCTTTCATTAATGATCAAGATCATTACAGATTAAGAACATTATAAAAAAAAAACCCTGGAAAGACAACTTTTACTTATCCTTAAAAAAAAAGAAAAAATACTTATCATTTTCACCATCATTTTTTGAATTAGTCATCTTCTATTTTCACACTAGCTTACAAAAAATATTAACAAAAGTTTGTACTGGTTTGTTCTCTGAAATTTTGGTTAGCTCTTTGTAATAATAATCATTTTTTACTAAGTATAAGTCATGGTTTTAACATGACATTCCAATGAACCAAGTGAATTTCACCAGTTTTATTTTTGCAATTGTTTTTGGAACCTCAAATTCATTCTGTTCTTTTGATCAGTTCTTCTCTTCTATATTATTGGCCTGTTGATTTGAGCACAGTATAAATGTCCTTCAATTGTTTTATTTCCCTGCTCATTATTTTGACTTCATTGTCTTTTTAATACTCTGCTTTTTGAAACACATTAATTTGAAAATTTCTCTATGAATTACAACATTCAATGTTATAATTTAACTATAATATATATATATATATATATATATAATATACACACACACATGATGAAATCTCCTGTCATTTTTGATGTATGAGTGTCTTTCAGTTCAGTTTTTAATCCTGTACCTGTCCCTGTTGCCTTAACTCTCTCGCCAGTGGATTTGTTGCTTGTGTGAAATGGCAAAGAAGGAATACAGAACTGAACTGCCGACTATCCACACAAAAGATTTGTTTAGAGTGGTGAAGGCTTGTCTAGAACCAGCCACACTTATTGGAAGTGCTGATAACAAGGAATTGGTGCAAATATTTGCCATAAACACAATGAACAACACCCCTCAGGTTTTATTATCCTCTCTAATACTACCAGTGCACAGAAGAGTGCAGCACTTTTCAATGGTAATTTCATGTGATTTAACCCGCCTGCTGAAGTGATTTACAAGCTTTAGTGCATGGAGATTTAGGAGATGGGTGAAGACCAGTGTTGCCCGTCTATCTTAATAAGAGCAGCAGCCGAGTAACAAATTTTTATATATGTATTTATTAAATTGTATGTTCCATATATATATATATATATATATAATCACTTTAAACATTAATTCTTCCAAAGAATACCAGGATGTAGACAAAGGAAATCTAACTACTACACAGACACCACATTGGTTCTTGATAATGACTGCGATGATCAAAAGTACTTGAAGAAAATATGAACTTCACATAGTTTATACACAACTTTGAGTACAATACTCAGCACCTTATTAAAAGATTGGAAAAAGACAATAAAATATTAAAAAGACAGACTTTGTCAGCTCTTTTTAATTACACTTGTTCTGATGAACATTTGTTGCTTATATATATATATATATATATATATATATATGTGTGTGTGTGTGTAGACTCAAACATTATTATACTGGATACTTGTATTTGAAATAGATACCCCATTTTCCACTATTATAAAGTTTGAAGTAATAACAATGTCAGATTAAAAATAAATCCATTAATTCTTTAAAAACACACACACATTATATATATATATATATATATATATATATATATATATATATATATATATATATATATATAATGATAAAAATATAATTTTAAGGTATGCTATTATTTATGGGTAAAAGTGCTCAATATCAGAGACAGAGCATATGTAAATATAAAAGTAGACACTGATGTTAACACTGAGTGGTGACAGTGTGTTTCATGTTTGCATGAAATTTTCAGACCATATATATAAATTTCAACAACATTAAGAACATTTGCTCACTTTCTTTTATTTGGCATTAAATTTTATCACTTAGCATCCACCATAGTTTACCTTGACTTTCACAGTTAACCTGAAGAATATTTATGAGCATTCTTAAATTTAAGTTTTGAAAACCTAATGATATTTTTGCTTCTGTTTATAAATATTTTTTTCAAAATAAAATCCTTACATTTGCCTTGATAAAATGCATATAGAACAAAATGCATTGATTAGAATAATTTATGCTTCTGTCTTTATTGATATTTGCTTTTTACAGATATATTTTTATTTGTCTGATTTTTACATATATATGACAATTTGAAACATTTTTTGACAGTGAACTGGCATCATCAGAAAAAATATTCTTTTTAAACATTAAATTGAAGTTTTCCAAATTATATATATTTACCATTTTGTTAGATTCTCATCCATTTTTATTTTCCCGTTCACATACACACACACACAAACAAAATACGTAAAAAACGATTGGATGTTTAAAATTTTATTGTTTTTGTTTACTAAGAAAAACATCAGAAAAACTAAAAAAAAAATGGTAACATTGCCACTTATAAATGCTCTGGTTAATTTGAAAATTTAACAGTTAATCTGTAATAGTGTGTTAAATAAAGCTATGTCCAGTCCCTTCTCTTTTCACTTAATTAAAAATGATATCATCTTCTGTTGATAAAGCAGAATGTCTGGCTCATAAATTCTCTTTGCCTGACTTTCAATTTGGAATTGAATTTCTACTGTTTGATTTGCACATAACTCTGTCCATGATTTCTGCTGTCATCTCTAAACTTGATCCCTACAAAGCATCTAGACTCAATGGTATTCCTGCAATTGTTTAACAGAAATATGCTCCTGAACTGACTCCTGTTCTCTCTAAGCTCTAAAATAAATGCCTTGTTGTTTCTTGGATCCTCTAATCTATTGTTAATTGTGACAAGACATGGGTTGTTAATTTTAATGCCTCCAAAACTAAACTGCTCTATTTTAATCATCTTGGAGAACCTATTTTGCCTTCATGGCTGATGCTAACCTCCAAGAGTACCATTGTACCTTCTCAGTCTAACATTTTCCACATAGATGAAGTGGAAGTTATATTGAATTGCTAGGAAAGCAGGTTCATTATGCTAGAAAAGTTTTTTCTTTTTTTATAAGTTTACCATTCAGCTGTGTGTTGAATATTATTGTCATATCTGGTCTGGTTCATCTGCTATGTATTTAGAGATTCTTGATAAAATCCAAAGCAAAATCTGCAATGTCATCAGTCATAACCTGGCATCTCAGTTTCAATCACATTCCCACAACTGTAACTATAAATATTTGCATGGTAATTCTGGTGAGTTTTTGCACTTTGATACTTTCATCATTTTACACTTGAAAGGGTTATAGATATAACCATGAATTCTGGGCTAACACTCTGTTCTCTTGCCCTTCTTGATTTTGGAAATCTCTTCAGGTTTCTCACTTTCCAGTCAACTGTGATATTCAAAAATTTAAATGCAATGTCAATTGTCATTTTCTGTCTCTTTGAATCCTGGTCTTTTATTGTTCTCTTTCCTTAATAATGTTTTTTTATCTCTTTCACTCTCAGTAACCTCATGTCTTTCAATGGCTTTATCACCTTGCTTAGGGTGAAATGATTAAAAAAAATTTATTAGCAAGAAAAGGTGAGAGGTCATAAAAACCTAGTTTTTGATTAATTGAATTGGATGGTAATAAAAATTCATTAATTCAGTTCTGATTCAAGTGTAAAATTTGATTTTAATATTATATTCTTCATGTATTAGTTTGAAAAAGTGACATATTATAAAAACTTACTTTTTAATTAATTATATTTATATATATCATAGCTGATTCAATAATTTTTCTCAATAATCTATGATGTATAAATTTAACCATATTTTTAAAATCAAAATGCTGGTTTCTATATTGTATAGGGGAGAATAAAAAATTTAATGTAGCTTTTGTTCATAGATGCATTTTTTAAGTTGCTTGTGTTATATCAATATAAATTTTGTCACATTTACTACATGGAATTATATATATATATATATATATATATATATATATATATATATATAATTTTTTTTTTTTTTTTTTAAGAAATTTTCTATGGTACAAACAACAAACCTTGTATTGAACCCTCCTGTAGTTGTAGATCTAGAGAAAATTGTCCAGTAGAGTTGCATATGCAGATCTACCAGGTTTATATATCAAGTGATCATTTCCCCCAAAGAAGATATGAAAAATTATAATGTTTGCATTGGAATTTCCACGGGGAAATGGAAACAGATTTTATACCCATAGGCACTCATTTTTTAACCCTAAACTAAAACACCAGACAACACTTTCAAAAAAAATTTTGGAATTGAAGGAGAAATTTTTGAGCACACAGTTTTGAAAATTATAAGTTCCGTATGTACTCCTAATAGTCTTCGAAATAGGTGTGACTTATGTTTAGAAGAAAAGATTAGAATAATAAAATACAATATTCAAAGCCATCTATTAAATCAGAGGAATGAATTAGTATTAAAATGTTGACAAATTCAAATTTCCATAATATAAGTTTAATTTAATTAGCTGCCATATTTCCATTATATTAACTCTCCTCTAACTCTTCAGAAGTTGACAGTATAACTAAAACTCTAATTTCTATATTTTATTTACTCTATAACCTCTTCCATTATATTAATTATAATTTATAACTTTCCCCTACTTTAATATCTCCCCTACTCTCTCTCCATTGTTTTATCTATATTTTTTAAGTTATTTTTAAACCCCTTTTTATTCTTCATATAAACCTAAATTAATATCATAAGGTTAATATTTGGATTTAATTTTATAAAACTTCTTCCCCTTAAGACAAATATCTTCCACCCTCCCCTGATCTCTGTCTCATGCTTTTCGTCTGACTGAAACATTGAAATAGATAAATTCTG